TTCAGCAGTTAAATCAAGAATGCCTAAAGGCAAAAAAAACCAACTATCTACAACAAAGTGACATTTTTGCCAATTTACAAAGGAATATATGGAAAAGAAAATTCGAGCCTATGCCCTCAGTTGAGAGCAGCAGGTTTTACCACAAAGCTAAAATCTTTACTATTCTCAACACCCTTTACTTTCCCTAGAGCACAGTAAATCCCTTACTGCCATTTAGCTCAATTTAACAAACCATTACATATCTGGGAGATTTGGACACTAGATGCTTTAGGCTCCCAATTTACAAGTTTGAGCTCCGTATAGGAGACTGCTTATCTCAAACTTAATTTTAGAAATATTTTTGCTGCTTTTAAATTTTTCAGTTCAACAAGAAAACACATTTGTAGGAGTAAAATGTATTAGTAGAAACCAACAGTTAATGTAGATGGAATTACATCTATTTGTCTTGGATAGAATATACAAATCCTATTCTTCCCTTCCTCCCCCACTCCCAGATTTTCTTAAGCTAAGGACTGTTCCGTGCTAAAAACAAATCTTTACCCATCACTACTGTTATCAGAAGATCTGCCTGCAATATTGAGGTTTTCATTATTCACTCAAAATCATTTAAATAATGACAAAAAAAACCAACAGGATATTGCTTTCTCTCAAGTAGAAAGCAGCAGAGTAAATATAATTAGGTTTTAATTAAAAAGGATGTGGATTTAAGTCATTTATGATACCAGTACTAAGTATTGCCAACAACAGAGCTTTGCTTTACTTATACCCTTCCTAGAAACAACCGGATTAGAAGCATTTATTGACTGCAAGCAGTGGCTGTAAAAGGACAAGAGACTCAAAGCACTTATGAACAGCTGTCTATAAAGAAAAGTCAGAATGAGAACATTAAAGTGGTCACTGGGAGACAAAAGCACCCCATCGCTATGAAGTGGGTTTCAAAAGGGGACAGATACTCAGGCTCAGGAAATTCGTAAGCACGTCACAAATGTGCCTGATCTCCAGGCTCTACCTTTACTTCAAATACTTAAGAACACCAACTTTTTCATCAAGACCTTTACATTTCTTCCTTGAAATGAACTGCTCATCCATGCCTACTGCCACAGAAGTGAACAGCAAAGTTAATCAGTTGTACACTTTCAGTTTCCTTACAAGCATGAACGTGACATTACAACCACTGAACTGTTGTACATTTACAACTTCGAAAATATTGAGAGGCCTAGTATTGCTGCTGCACCATTCAGGTCAACGCTTTTCAACACACGACCTGTAAAAGGAGAGAGGCATTCTCACTCACACAAGCAAGCCAACAATCTGTAGAAAACTAAAAGTGAAAATTCAGATTTTATCTTATAAAAATTGTAGATTAATTGCATTCTTACAGTCATTGCTAGGTAAACAGTTGAGATCCTTACATGCAAGCAAGGACTTCACAAAGTCAAAAAGATAAATCAATTTTATCAACTAGATTACTTTTACGTTGCAAAATCTTTGTATAGCAGAGCAAGACTATCCTAAGAACAGTACTTCCTGTTTACACCGACACTTTATTTGTGTGCTGTATCCTGAAAAAATACCCTGAGCATTCACATTTGTTTTTTTCCAGGATTTGCTCTGAATCACAAGCACAAGTCAAGACCATGTATTCAAGTCAACTTTTCTGGACATTAAGTAGATGTGACAAAGAGAAAGCTAATCATGTGATTAATGGAACAGATAGGCATGACAGCCAGGAGATTGCTTTTAGTTATTTTGGATGCAAACACTACACTGAAGCAGGGACCTATTATGCCAGGCAATGTACAAGGACAAACTTCCCTAGCAACAAACAACAACTGTTAAATCCTGGGGCCTTTAAGATTTATTCTATGACATTAAAGCACATCTAGCTTTCATTTTATACTCTTTCAGTAGTAGCACAATTAGGTTAATAAACTAATGTCTGCAACCCGCCTGTAACTGTTATTCCTCTTCCTCTTTCCTGTCCTCACCCTCTCTCAACAGTGTTTCACCTGCTGATTACAGAGCAACATCTGTGGTCGTTTCCTAACTGAACTCTCTCAATCTAGGCTGTTTTAAACATTTGTTTAAATTCAGATCATGTTAAAAGGCTGAGATTAGGGAACTACCTGAGACAATCTAAAAAGGGAGCAATCTATTGCAGTCACAGTGGTGACAAGCAGCACAGGGCAGATCCTCAGCCTTCAGAACAACATATTTTATTCATCTTCATTTCTTATTTCTGTACGGTTGAGTTCCTCATCAGTACAGGATACAATTCCCTCATTTCTATGCTGTTTAGAATACAATTTTTTTAAGACTGAGACAACACCTTATTAATGACTTTACAAAACCATCTCCAAATACAGGCAGGACACCTACAGGTTACAAATAACTCATACTTGTTACAATAAATGTATGTTAAATTGGGGTGGGGTGGTGGTGTGAAGCTTCCTCCTCATTGAAAAACATATGTCATTTCTTAACAAGCTAAGTAATTTTAGATGTACTACAAACATGCACTTAAAACTACAAGTGTTAGCACTTTGCCTGTATCAACATGTCAAGGTTTCACGCTCTTATAAAAATATAAAGGTTATCTGAACCATTCCAGCTTCACTCCCCTGAAACAACTTCACGTTTGGATTTTCCAGTTATCAAAGGTAATTTCAAGTTGCCTCTCTCACATTTTTCACTTTACAGGAAAAAGGTTGTGGGATCTAAGACCTCAATGCAGTAACTGCCATTATATACTTTAATGCCAAACTACATAGCCTCTGACACCCTTTTGTTCAATACATTCAAAATAAAATACTTATCTTTTACTAGTATCTTTAGAAAGATGTTTTGGGAGCATTAAAATATCTGAGAAGGCTGAATGTATTTAAACTGCAGTTATTTTTATCTGCAAAACCATCAGTTACAGCAAGTCCTTCCAAATGAAATACACTTGCCATACAAACTGCTGTGTATATTACCCTGGCAGGCAATTAGAAGGTAGTGGTCCATTAACACCTTCCAGTTTATTAAAGAGAGTTTTATTCACTAAAACTGGTTACTTTTACCATAAGAGCAGCTTTATTATTTCATGGAAGGAGATGCGAATCCCCACATTGCAATGAAATTTCACGCTGAAGTTCAGTTGCCTGAAGCTACCTACATGACAGC